GTAATATAAACGAAAAAACGTCGAGTTTCGATGAATCTCTTGTTTCATAATTGTTGAGCTTACTTCCATTTCGAGTGGAAGTGTTGCGTGAAAAGATTCGAAGGTCGGTTCGACCAGAAGACGACGGCGGATTCCTCTTGACTAGCTGTCGATTAGCTTTACTGGAAGATTCTTGCTGACGCTGTTTCCGAGGCAATATGACGGACGGAAGCTTAACACTTTTTCACCGGAATCGAAGAAGATTGTCTCGGAAACAGCGTCAGCCGATGAGATCGGTTCTGGTAAGGTCGAAACTGTAGTCGAGGCTACTGCAGTCGATGGGCGAATAACTGTTGGGAAGCAAGGCAATGTGGAATTGAATGAAAACATGAGGTACATTCATATATGAACGTGGGCAAATGCGACCATAAACGAAATTGTGTGAATACATCTCATAAAAGTAGCCACAACTCTTATGCTACCGGTTTGCGGTTGATTAGAGCGTCAAAAACGAGGCCGACGCCTCAACGAGCCTGAAATGGAGAAATTAGACAGAATTAACCTCCTAGCAACTCGTCTCGCATTGCAGGTCAACTTGCCAGCCTATCTGGGCAGTTGCCGTGCCAGCAGGAGTCAACTGTCGCAGCTCATCTCCGGCCTAAGGCTGCTGCTGTCCGACGCATGGGAAGGTGGGCCCGAGTTCGCAGTGCTCGTCGAGCAGATGCGCGGCCTTTTGATGCGTCTACCGAGGCCGGAGAGGCAGTCGGTGCGCAGAGCAGAGCAGTCGGTCGACTCGGCCGGACTGACGGGACTCGGAGCAAAGCACGAGGCTTCCGGCGGACCGAAGCAACGGTACAGCAAAGTCTCGCTCTCGGGAGAAGAAGAGCAGACGACCAATCAGATTCTCTCGGCGGAAGCCAATCCCATGTCAGGTGAGTAGGCACGCTTGGCAATTCGCTCATTTGTTCGAGTGCACACCATTTCAGGCGAGCAACACTCGCCAGAAATGTGACAAGACTGACCCCACTTTACTGTGCCCAGAGGCAAAAAAGGAACAAGAAAGGAAATAGGGTCCTCGTTTCTACGATTGTCCTCTTTTGTCGGCTATGCACAAGTGTAGATACGAAGAGAAACTTGGTTTCGATGAATCTCCTGAGATAACATTGTTAGGGGGAACTTCAT